ACAATCCTTTAAAACGGCTAAAGGCCCCCCCTCCTCTCTTGCTGTGCTTCTTGCTAACCCAACTTTAGAAAGAAATATATATATATGAATATAACACGAAGCGAAGCCTACAGCTTTTGATACTGCAGATGTACCGCAAGAAGAAGAAACAGACGAAAATAGGTAAGAGGAGGATGCACAAACACCATTGTGCCTGAGGCACAACAACAGCGGTGACTCCCCCGCAAAGAACAACAACAGAAGTGCTCACCCGCTGTACATCGAAAGCAGACACACACCCACGTCAGCAGCCTGAATTCCAACACAAAAATCACAAATCAACACCTACGCAATACGCACATGTTCGTTGTCGCGGAGCAGGGGCGAGGAAAAGAATCCCCTCACCTTTTTCTCTGGTCCCGCTTCAGGCTCGTATCTTTCCATTTGAGGCCTCGTAGCGTTCGACGAAGCCATCGTCCGTCGGCTTGCCCAGCCCTAACTCCCGCGCCCGCCAGCGCTCCCGCTCAATGTCCTTCTCAATGGACGTGTGCCGGCGGGTGCGCTCCCTCTCCTCACTCCAGTAAATCGCGACGTAGATGCCCAGTGCGGTGAGGGCGCTGCAGATGACGAGTCGCTTGTCACGTGCCCGCTTGAAGCCGACCATCTCCTGCACCGTGACGTCGGAGCCGGTGTACCGCTTTACGTAGGAGTTCATCTTCTCTTTCCGTTTAATAAAATTCTCTACAGATTTAATTGCGTCTGTGTGTGTGTGTGTGTGTGCGTGCGTGTATGCGAATGGGTGAAGGTGTTATCAAATGCACACCCCCTTCGTTTGCTGCTTTGATGCACTGCTGTGTAGGGGCCTCCAAGCGAGTCACGTGGTGGCAGTGCGGCGAGCGAGAAGGGAAGGAGAGGGGAATAATTGTTTATGTTTGTAGGATGAGATGGAGAAGGGGGAGAGATAAAAGTTAGTAGAAAGAAACGAGGTAGAAGAATGGCGTTTTGGTTTTTCCTCTCCATTAACTTCTATGTTCAGCACAGGGATAAACCACGACCCTCACGATCACTCGGGGTCATTTACAACAACATTAGTTTTCGAAAGACAGCAACATATCATATTGATTGATTTATTAGTATCTTTTTCACGTGGAACGGGAACCAAGACTAACGCAGTGGCAGACTTCAAAACAAGATTAGTCCGCCCTCAAAGCGGGGCGGAGTGGGCCTGGGTGGGCGGGAAAACGAACAGAAGAGAGAACAAGGCGGAAGTCGAAGACTGTCCGTGGAAAAGGAGAAGAAAATAGAAAGGAGTCCCCGAAGATGATATTCACTTAGATTCCATTCAAACCATACTTCACATTCAATCATTCCTTTCGCAAGCTCCCAGAAAAGAGGATAGAAGAAGAGAACAAAAACCTTTGTGCGCACGACACCAACTGAGGAAGAATATATCAGCACTCTGTTACCGCTGCTGTGCTTGACTTCGCCTTTTTAAACTATACACCGCCCTCTTCAGCAAATCAGCTTTTCGCGTAAAATTTCTCCTTCTCTTTGTCAGTACTCAAGAAAAGACAATTGTCCAAGGGAGGGACGAGGACAACGCCGTCCGAAAGTTTAGCTTCCAAAGCGAGAAGTCCTGACGGAGAGAGACGCACCGCCTGTCACAGTGCAGGGCGGCGACGGTGCGACGACGCGTCATCGCCCATGCACCGCCACCACGACAAACGACAGCAACAACAAACAAAACAAAGCAAAAAGTGTACATACGCACGCGTTGTTTTAAACCCCCGAGGGAAAACGACGCGGTGCCGCAAACGTTAAACAATGGTTAAATACCAAGAAGAATAAAGAGCCACACCTCATTCCTAAAGTACATCAATTCCTTATCTTCTCCTTCTACCTTTCCTTCCCTTCCTCTTCGAAAAACCAACGCCAACAGATGATGAGGCAAAGGCTTCGGGCCAAATACACACACACTGGAATAATAATAATAATAAAGGGGACGAATAACAACACCGCGTCACAGCCAAACATCTATGCGTTTCCCAGAATGATACGGCTCGATCTTCTCCGGAGAGTTGCTCGTGGCGGTCGCGTTGTCGCACGGAATTGTCGTGTAGTTGAAGTCCTCCGCAAACTCCCTTCGCCGCTCGCACGACTCCTGCATCGTGCCATTGGGATGCACGTTGTGGCCGTAGATGGAGGCCTGCAGCTCCGCCGCACCCCACCGCTCCACCGGGAAGTACGCCTCGCGCGACGGCAGCACCGGCTTCGCGTTGTCGGTTCCTGCGTCGGCCAGCGCGGCCCAGGGGTAGTAGCTGTGCCGCAGCGCGTTGCTCGCCTCCTGACTCACGGGAGCAGGGGTGAGAGGCAGCGGCATCACCTCCTCGCCAAAACCATTCGCCGCCCCTGACGCGGACACCGCCCCCGTCGCACCATATCGGTCTTCGAAGTACTCCGGTATGTACGTGGTTGGGATGTCGTGTGCAAACGAACCCATGTGGTCTGCCGAGTCGTGGCAGTACATCTGCGGGGCGGTGCGGAAGGGTAAGGGCGCGACGGAGGCAGGTCCCGGCCCACAGGCGGTGACCGCTGGTGCGGAGCCGGCCGTCGACGACGCGACGGCCGAGTTCGCCGCCGGGGCGGCCAAGATACCCGCCGTCGCACGCGAGCGGTGTGCTTCGTTGCGGTAGGCAAGACTGAGCTGCACGTACGCGTCCTCCGTGTACAGCGCCGCCTGCCGCAGTTCACTCTCCTTCGACAGCGCCGCTGCCGTCCGCGCGGCTGGCGGACCTGCTGCGCGCGACGACACAGGCACGGAAGACAGCGGATACCCTGTCGTGCTGTTGCCCATCGTCATCGTCATTGTCATCGCAGCGGCACCAGCAGACGCGCCTGTAAGGCTCTTCGTCCACGTTTTATGCATGTCTTCTTTCGCCCGCGCCTTGTGCTGCTGCTCCGCGTACGCCACGGAAGCACCCAGGTTGATCAGCCGCTGCTGGTTTTTAAGGAACTGCGTGCTGCGGTCTTGGAAATCAGTCATTTCATCGTCTTCCTTTAGCGCTTTACGCATCTGCTGACGCTCCTCCTTGCGGCGTTGCAGCTCGCGCTTGCTCTGCGCCTCTGCCACCTCGCGACGGTGCTGTTCCTCTGCCTTTGCGGCCTCGTGCAGGGAGAGGGCGCGCTGCCGCTTCTCGGCCCGCTCGCGCTGCACGGCGGCTGACCAATCCGCCGCGTCGCGCATGTCGGCGTACGCGCTGACGTTGTGCACCAGCACTGGTGGGTGCAGCAGCGAGGACGCGGTGGAGAGCGCGTGGGGCTGCGGAGACGGTGGATTGGCGGCGGGGGCGCCATTCCTGTCGGAGGCCCCGCCATTCGAGGGGTGATCCGACGAGAGAAGTTGGTGGTGGTGGTCGGGGGGCAGAGGCGTGTCATCCTGATCCGAGTGCGGTGCGTTGCGATGTTGCAGCTCAATAGGAGCACGGATGACGTGTGCGGGCGGGGCGGGGCCGACGCCGGGTCCACCTTCCGCCCCGTCGGTTTTAAGCTAAACGAGTACATGAGTGGTGCACGCGGGACAGGTATGTGTATGTGTGTGTGTGTGTATCAACACCGGAATCGACGGGGAGCTCAAGTCTACGTATACGGCCCAGCAGAGGTCCACAAAAGGCGTACAAGCCCTTTCATGGCGTCGGCAGCGAAGTGAAGACACGGCGACGACGCAGGACCCAACCATCACAAAAAAATAATAATTAATAAACACAGGCAGACAGCAGAAGATGAAAGTTTGATGACGCACCAACCACAGAAAGAAAGGGACCGGCAACGGACCCCACAAACAACGAGGAGAACAAGCTGTGATGCGCCTGTTCACGTACATTTACGCTCTGCAGGGCACACACTTGCGGAAAACACAAGCAGGCAGGAGGCCTTCGCTCTCGCACACGAAGCACGCAGGTGGTGCACCAAAGACTTCACCTGCTTGTTCCACTCCTGCGTGCTTCGGTCACGCTGTTCTCCCCGTCGCTCTCCTACAAACAACAGACGAACACGTTACGCAAACAGCGGACCACAATCCGGCCGCGGTGTACTCCACGAATACGAAGTTGATTCCGCTAGTTCTATTTTAAAAGCTTATATATCAATGCTTCCCTGAATGGTCCTCTTCTCTAATGAATCGATGAGTGAAGTGCAGAGAAAAAAATAGTTCATAGACACACGCATACACGCACATACAATGAAAGAGAGCGAATACATTTAGCGTGAAGTGATCATTAACACGAATACCCGATGACGTAAGTAGGTGTATGCATGCCGGGGAGAGAGAGAGAGAGAGAGAAGGGGGCCGCTCCCTGCACTCCCGCAAAAAAAAAAAAGGGGTCTGTGTGCTGCCATACGCATCTGACAAGAGGGTTTTTTTCTCCTTTACTCTAGGGTGCTAAAAGCAAAGGCAAAAAAGAGGACAAAGGAGAGTCTGTAGACTGAAAACAGCAATAACAGCTAAAAGAAGATGGCGAGCGGCACATCGGATGACACGGAACCCACGGAGAAAGGAAAATAATCGTAGTCATCCTCATTAGCGCTCGATGGATTTTTTTCTTCACACAGCTGAACTCAGGATAATAATGATAAACAAAGAGAAAGAAGAATACCTTCACGAGTCGGCGAAAGATCCGCTCCTGTGCATCGTTGCACTTACTCACTTTCTCGAGGCCTTCTTGTTCGGCTTACCTTTCGGCGCGGCGGGCTTCGTGCGCGTCGAGCCGCTCCTGCGTGGCTTCGACACGGGCGTCTTCTTCTTTCGCGTCTGTGTCTGCGCAGGGGCCTTCACCGGTCGCATGTGTTTTTGCGGAGCAGCTGCGGGTTTGCGTTGGGCCGCCGTTCCCCGCTTTCCCGGTGCGCTCTCGCTCTTCCGCTGTCTCTTCTGCAGCTTTGACGGAGAAGGAGCTCCTTTGCCGCGTTCCGGTGACTTCGCCTTTGACTTTTGCAGCACCGCCTTTGCAACTGGTGCTCTACGCGCCCTCGGCTTCATGCGCAGAGGAGCCTTTGCCTTTGCACTCTTGGAGGCCTTCACCGGTGTGGTGACTGCTGCATGCGATTTGCTGTGCTTGGTGTTGCTGACGGTGCTTCCTTTTTCCATTCTGCTGTGGCGCGCCAACGACGCTGCGGAGGTTTTTGACGCGGCCGCGGCGGCCGCCTTGCTCTTCTGCGCCGCACGACGTTGCCGGTGCAGTTTCGCACGTGCCGCCGTTATCGTCTTCTGGGAGGCACCACCACCTCTAGCCGCCGCCGCCGCCGCCTCTGCATCTGCCGTGGCTGTCATGCCCAACAGGTCACCCTCCGGCATCACACCCAGGTCTGCCTCGCTGAAGCCACCACCGCTTTCCTGCGTGTAGCTGACCATCGGGTCTGGCTTCAGCGCCTCCGCTGCCGCTGCTGCTGACAAGGTCGCACGTTTGCTCTTTTTCTTGGGGCTCGCTGCGAAGAGCACGTCACGCTCGCGCTGCGCCACGCCACGCCGGAAGTTCTGCAGCTCGGTGTCGTTCGTGCGGCGCACCTTCGCCAAATCTCGCTCCGCCTTGAGGCGCTGCAGGGACGCATTTAGCAGCGCCTCTTCTGCCTGTAGCTGCTGCACACGCTGACTGTGCAGGAGGGCGGTGGCGGGGGAGCTGACAGACTGCAGCACCTCTGCCGCTTGCGAGGCGGCGGCGGCTAGGCGAATGCGACGCGCCTTGGTAATCACCGGCCGACGTGGTGACGACGCAGACGAAGCGCGCGCGTGCTCGTGGGCCGCCGCGGCATCGGAAGTCGTGCAAGGGCGCGACGTGTGGGCCGGCGCGACAACGGCTGCGACCTCTGCCAGGTGCCGAGGACCGAAGCCGCCGGTGAAGCCAACATAGCCCTTACCGGTGCTGTGGCGGCTGTCGTCGTGCAGGTTGGACACGACGAGCGCATTGCTGCTGCTCCGGTGGGCGGCGTCCGCCAACCACGACGACGATGCTTCCTCCCTGCCGGCGTGGCTGTGGTGGTGGAAGTGCTGATCCTGAAGAGCGCTGGACAGCGCGGCCGCTGCATCACCGGAAGAGGCGTCGACATCGCTGGTTTGATGATGTGCCGAAAAGGCCGCTGCGCCGACCTCGCTCGCACCTGCCGCTGCTGCGGCAGTTGTGGAGAAGAGCGAGGCAGAGCGCAGAACACTCGAACTTTGGAAGAGCGAGCGAAGCATGACGTATTGCGGCGCTCGTGTGTTTGTTTGTGGAAAGAAAAGGCAATCAATCTGGCGTATCTGAGTGCGGGGGGAGGGGGCTTCTGCTGGAAGGAGAGGCGATTCTCACTTTCTTTAAACAAACAACAACAAAGGTGCAAAGAACTCAAAGAAGAAAATACAAAGAAAGAGAACAAAAAGTAGACGGAAGCGCAAAGGCCGAAGTTGAGAAACTTCTAGAAAGGGCGGAGGGCCCACGAGAGAGAGAGAGAGAGAAACGAAGGGTTATAGTGGTACAATAACAAAGTGCTGAAAAGGAAAAACACACAAGCCAGGGATAATCGTCAAGGACAACGCGCAGAGGAGGAGGAGCGAAAACAATAGGCGGTGCCGATACAACTCGGGCGAGCTTTCCCCCCTGATGAAATCGCGACCCCCGGATAAAAAAAAAAATAGCAGAACGCGAAAGAAGAAGAAGAGAATCTGCGCTGTACACGGCGGAGGAGCGCAGAAAGATCTGCTCAGAGAAAGAAAAGCCCAAAGAGTGGAAGTAGAAGAGCAGGCAGGGAAAAGAAACGTCTAACGGGTGGTGAAACGAAAACAAACAATAAAGTATCAGAGCTCTAGAAGAAGAAGTACAAGGGGGAAAAAATGGTGAAGAGGGCGAAAGGAAAAATAATAAACTTCTGTACAAGGTGAATTATACAAAAAATATATAAGAGAACAATAAGACGGAGGTGGGCGCCGTCGCGTAAAGGCGCTTACGACGATTAATGTTGTTTCTTTCTTTTCTTTTCTCTGAAACAAAAGGAGACAGTGCGAGAGAAGAATTGTTCGTTACTTCCACGAACACAGAGATATTTTTCCTTACTACTCCACAAAACGTGTAGATGCTTTGATGAGGAGGTCGTGATTGGCGAAGTGTTTAAAGCGGCGGAGAAAGGTCAGCCGCCATTTTTTTTTTGGTAGGATGTATGTGCCGTACAGTAGACAGAGGGGAGTCGGTGAAGAGATCCGCAGAGCGAGAAGGCGAGAGGCGTTGGGCGATACATATATTCGTTGACGTTGAAGCACAGGCGCGGAGGATCACAGAGAGCGCGCGCGCGCGAGAGGACTTCTCTCTCCTCACGGCAACGTTGGTCAGAGAGCCAGTCGCCATTGAAATTAAACCGAGGGAGTTCTTCTTCTTTAGAGTTGTCCGGGAAGAAGAACGCCCCGGCAGCAGGCGAGTTTTCCGCCCTTCCGACGGTTGCATGGCGCTGCTTCAATAAGTGTTGATGTTCATTTCCCTTTCCTCTTTTGAGTTGTTGATCTTCGACACGTTCGCCAACGTGGCGGCGGCTAAACAGAGGCGTGCACTCTTCTTTTCATATATATTACTGCCTTCTCGTCCGGGGAGAGAGAGAGAGGGCGGGAGAGAAAAAAAAAAAGGGAGAGCAGGCTGCGGTGCTTTTGCGTCTGGGCTGCCAAGACGACTAATAATGACCGCAATACTCGTAAAAGAGATTTGCAATGATTAGTTTTCGTAGGTGGAAGTAACGGAGACGGCACCGCTATTCATCCAGTAAAGGAACAAAACGAACAAAAGAAACCACAGAAAACTACGAGAAGGGCGATACGCACCCCACGCACACCGCGCGCACCGCCGCTCACAGACAATAACAACAATAATAAAATATAATCGACAGCGCTTACAACAAGACGAAACGCACACACGCGGATGGAGGGAGGAGGGAGGGAGGGAGAAAGTGTCAACAGACCAACCAACAACCAACAAACAATAGTTAATACGCATGAAAACTTTCCTATTTGCAGTGCCCTCAGGCAGACGGCCTCGCCGCTTCAGCTCCCCCCCTCCTCTTCCTCTTCGTCTCCCATCCCCTGCTGCTCCTGCTTCTGACGCAGCGCCTCGTAACGAGCCAGCAGCTGCGCGTACTCTTCCTTCAGCTCCCGCTTCAGGTGCACATAGGGGACACGGTGACTGGACTGACGAGCCGCCCGCATGGCGAAGCCGGCGTTCTGCCACGGATAGAACAGTTGGATGTACATGTTCGACGCCATGGTGATCACCACCAGCACCCCACAGGCGAAGAACAGCATCAACCAGAACTTGCCGGAGGTGCCGTACAGCTCGTTCGCCATCTTCACACACCAGTTGCTGCCTGCTAAGTTGTTCATGGCGGAGTAGATGAGCTCGATGACCGGGACGGCGATGATCTCCAGCGAGATGGCGAGGGCGAAGAGAATCATGTAGTACGAGACGAGCGTGCCAGCCCGGAAGTCGGCCACAAGGACCAGCATGGTGAAGAAGGTCATGCCATAGTCCTCGAGGGCGGGGGACATGTGTGGGTAGAGGTTGTCCTGAACCCCCACCGTGTACATGAGCACAAAAAAGAAGGCAAGCCCTTCGATCATGCCATCGAAGAGCCACTTCGCGATGTAGGGGAAGGAAAAGTACATGAACTCGCGTGACAGCGGTGGGTACAGCGTCGGGAGCGACTCTGCCAGTTCATCCTCGACGTCCTTGTCCAGAATACCAATCATGAGGGGCTGCAGGGAGCAGAAGAAGATGCTGAACATCGCCAGCAGCCACGAGTCCATCAGGGAGATTCCAGAGTAGCACGAGTAGAACTGATAGGCGATCATGCCCACCGTCACAATGACGTTCTTGTATAGCGAGTAGACGATGCAGTGCGCCTCACGAAGGACGGAGAAGCGGCCGTGGACGAAGAGGAGCCGCTTCAGGAAGCGAAACTTAGGAATGGCGTAGTCGCTTGCCAGCTCCGCCTGCGACCCCTCCAGCCCCATGATGCCGACCCCAATACTGCTCTCCTGTATCATCGAGACATCGTTCGCGCCGTCGCCAATGGCGAGCGCCACGGCGTTCATGTTGCGCTTGAACATGCGCACGATTTTGGCTTTCTGCAGCGGCGTCATGCGGCAACACACCGCACTGCGGCAACGGCTGCCGAGTAAAAAGAAACGGTGCGCACGGGCGTTGTCGGCGAAGATGAAGTCGAGGGTTTTGCCGTCCACCACGACGACGACGGCGTGTGTGTTGAAGACCTCATCGCTGTCATCGCACTTCGCCTCGGCGGCCGCCAGCTGCGCCTCAATGCGGGCGACCTTGCGCGCTAGAAAAGCCTCGTCTGTTTGCAGAGCGTGCGCACTCGCAGCCGTGTTCGTCGTCGCCGCCGGGTCAGACTTGCGCAGGACACCGCCATCCGCCTCCCCGGCCGCGGTGCGCGCGCTCTGCGGACCAGGTGAGCGGGCACCGGACGATAGCAGGGGCAGCGGCTGCGTCGCGGAGCTCACCTCTATCGAGCCGGACGCGTTGTGGGTCGTAGTGTTAAAGGGGGGAGAGGCCAGCGCTGACATGCGGGAGTTCGAAACGGAGACGCCTTCTTCCTCCTCGCTGCTCTCACCCCCCTCCTCTTGCTCGCCGTTTGCCTTCTTCGCGCGAGCCTGCTCCTCGTACTGCTTCTGCTGCTTCAACAGCTTCTCCTCCTCCATGATGTCCGACACGTCTAGGTGGCAGACGTACTCGGCGTAGTCGGGGCTGACGAGGCCGCTCGTGTGCGCGATCGTCACGGCCGTCTCGCGCTTGTCGCCCGTCAACATCCACACCACAATGGACGCCTGAATGCAGAACTCCAGCGTCTGTGGAACCTCGTCCTGCAGCTTGTCCTCCACCGCGGTGGTGCCGACGATGTCGACGTCCTTTTCCAGCAGAGCGTAGGCCTGGTGCAGCCTGTCGTTGCGGTCGTGCATGGCGCACTGCGCCTCGTTGAAGAGGGGCAGCCACGCCAGGACTTCCTCCTCGTTGAGGTACCGCTGACCGAGCACCAAGGTGCGCAGCCCGAGCTGCGCCATCGCGTCCAGCTCCGCCAGCATCTTCTCCTTCACCCGCGCATTCGCCTTCTTCTGCATGTTGACAATCTCCATCATGCTGTTATCCGCACCCTTCACCAACAGAAGAAACTTGTGCGAGTCCGATGCGGCCGCGGCGCCTGTGCCGGCGGTGTTGCACAGGGCAGCGACTTCGCTAGGCGAGTTCTGCGACTGCTGTCGGATCGGCGGGTCGGGCGTGAAGACGTTCGAGCTGGTGGCGTGCTGGAGGGCGGCACCCGACTTATCCGGGCTCCGCAACGTACGCGGCGGCTGGGAGACGGGCTTCGGTTGCGGGGGCTGACCAGCGCCGTTGGAGGGCAGTAGCTCCGTCGAGAACGACGAGGACGTGGCGTACGGGAGGTGACGCGTGTCCGCCCTCTTCGGGTCATTCATCGAGGTCTCCAGCACGGACGCATCGGGCGTGAAGGGGGAGTGCGCCGCGTCGCGTGCGAGTGAGGTCGCGTTCGGGGAGGAGGAATGTTGCTGTAACGCAGCTTGAAAGCTCGCCGATGCGTTATTATTAGCGCTGCTCGTGTTCATGTTGCCACGGCAGTTGAACAGCAGCGAGGCCGCCTCGGCCGCCGCCTGCTCATCCGCAACGATGTTGTCTTGCGTCTTTCGGTGGTAGTGCGCGCTGGTGCCGGCGGCGGCCGACGTCGCGGCCCCCTCCGTGTCCAGATCCGGTCGCCGCTGCAGCAGGATGCTCATCAGCTTCCGCTGCGGCGTGAACTCGAGCTCGGCGATGATGTCGTAGCACATAAGCCGACCCAGCGCCTTCAGGTACATCTGCTTCGCGGTGCGCTCAAATAGAGAGAAGCCGTTCTCGCGAGCGGCGTTGACGAGGGCGATTTCATCGAGGGACTGACCTTCGTAGATCTTTGTGCGGTCAATGAACTGTTCGAGATCACCACCGCCACCACCACCAACGCCGACACCCGGTCCCGCCCCGCCGCCGTCCGCCGACGGCGAAGAGACGCCGTCGCGAAAGCCGCGGCTGCGCTCGCCAGCGAGGGAGTTCGGGCTGCCGCTGTTCACCGCCCGAGGCCGTTGGGGACCAAGGGCAGAGTTTTGACTGAAGTTCCGACTGTGCATGACGCGGCTGAGGTACCGGTTTTGGTACCAGCTCGCGCTGCTGGTGCGGCCATGCAGTTTGCTGATGGCGCGCGGACTGAGCGGGAAGTCGTCTGTGTGCTGCGCGGCCCGTTGCGGTGGCGGCGGTGGTGTAGGGGGGAAGGAGGTGCTGCTGCCACCGGCGCCGCTGCGTGCGTTGGCGGCACGCGCAGTAAGGGAGAGCGAGCTGGCCGCCGTCAGCGGTTCCTCCCTGCCGTTCCCACCCCCGGCGGAGGCGTCAGTGGTGGAGCGGTGGAAGGGCTCGAAGTCGTCCCGCGCCGGTCCAGCAGGGACGGCGTACGGGATCTCCACAAAGTTGGCGGCGGAGATGGTGGACAAGGAAAGCGTGTTGGCGATGGCTGAAAGGTGCGTGCCGGCCGCTTCTGCCGTGTCGTGGCCCGCCGCCTCACGGTGATGGTGCGCCTGCGCGCTCTTCTCGTGGTGTTCCTGCTGGGGAGACTTCTTCGCGACCTTCTCATCCTGTCCAGTCTGCCCCTCCTCCTCCTTCTCCTCGCGTGTGCGGTGGTGGTGGTGATGAGGCCGAGAAAGGCTCGCCGCATCTCCTGCCTCTCTGTTGTCTTTCTTCATGCGTTTGCGCGCCGCCTTCTCGGCCTTGCGCTGCGCTTTCCGCTCGCGTCGGCGCTGCTTCCGCTGCGCTTTCGTGAGCTTCGCTGCGGCATCGTCCTGAGCGTCACCGGGCACCTCCACGTCCTCTGCGGTGCGATTCAAGGACTCGTTGTCGACACTTTCCGAGGACACACTGCTCTGACCATGTATAGGAAAGCACACGACGGAGTGGCACAGGGCCAGGGCGCGCAGGTAGCGGAAGAGGGGATCGCGCTCCAGCACTGCCTCGCTCACCTTGCTCAGCCCGCCAGTACCGCCTGCACCACCGCCGCTTAAATTGCCGCCGGTCATGCTGAGGTACGCGCCATTGTAGCTGCCGAAGCCGCTGAAGGTACCGCTGCCCCACGCATAGGCGCTTCCGCTCGGCACCCCGTGGTGGTAGCTCTTCGAGGAGGACGGCAGCAGCAGACCCACGCTGCTGCCGCCGCGAGTGTGTGCCGGCACGACAGGCGTGCCGGCAGCTCTGACCGCCGGCATCGGCGAGCCAGATCCATAGTCGGCAAAAAGTGTAGGTACGTCGACGGAGTTGACGCGAGGGTGCTCCAGCTGCTGCTGCACGGCACCACCGCCACCACTGCCGCCAGCGCCGCTGCCGATGCTGATGCCGCTTGGACGCGTCAGCCCGGCCAATGAAGGAGGGGAGGCCCGTGCCATGGGTGGCGCCTTTATATTGGCGAGGGCGGGTGGCATGCGATAGGTGACGGAGGTCGGGACGGCACCACTCGAAGTCGGCTGCACCGCCCTTCCCTCACCGGCACTTACGGCTGCTGCTGCATTTGCTGTATCAGTTGCTGTTGCGCTGGGCGCTTCTCCGCCGTCGGCGGGAATGGTAGATTGATTTGCCCCCGCGGCCGCCGCCGTCAGCGAACGCTGTGGCGGCACCCCTCCACGGTCGTGGTGGTAGGTGTCTTCGCCGCCGGAGCTGCTCATGGAGAGGACGCGGCGTACCGGCCCCGCGCCGCTCCCGCTAGCATTCGGATTATACACGTTGCTGGTGGTGTTACTGGTGTTGTTGCCGCGGCTTCCACCGCTCCCCGCACGTCGCCTGAGCAGCGCACGACCGATGGCGCCGGGCTGCTCCGTCTCGCTATGCGTGTGTCCGTCCACCACGCCGCCCACGTACGTCATCAGGTTCTCCGTCAGCGTGCCTGTTTTGTCAGTGAAGATGTACCGCACGTGGCCTAGCTGCGAGTTCAGCTCCGACGTCTTTGGGCGCGCCTTCTTGATGGCGCCAGTGAACTCGTCGTACACGGCCATGCGCTTATCGGCGCCGATCATGAGCATCTGCATTGCCTTGTTGAACTCCAGGGTGACGTAGAGGGACATGGGAATGAGGTAACTGAGGAGGACGAAGTTCGTCAGGTAGCGCCACCAGAAGAGCGCGGCGTCCGAGTACCGATTGAGGCTCCACTGGATGTACCACGCCGCGAACTCCGTCTTGGCGCCCGATGGCCGACGCAGCAGGTGGTGCTTATTCCAAATCGCCAGCCCGCACAGCATGAACATCAGCAGCTGGTTCAGCACGAAGAGAAACACGTTAAGTTGGTTGAGACGCCGCGTCATGGTGGTGATCTTGTTCGGCTTCGGCCGCAGGTTTAGAAGCATCTTCGTGTGCCGCCCGGTGTACACGACGGCGCCGAGCACCCAGTCCGTATTGCGGATGACGCACCCACGCGGGATGAACTGGTCGATGCCGAGGGGGACCATCTCCCCCATCGGCATCCGCAGCTGCCCGAACCACGTCGAGAGGTCCGGCGTGGGCGCGCAGGACACGAGGACCACACCAAAGGCCGGCTGTTCCTGCTGTTCCGCCTCCGCCGAGTCGTTGACGATGCAGCTTTCTGCTGGTGTCACGCAGCCACTGACCATGGCCGAAGTCGGCACTGTCGCCAAGGCCGAGTTGGCAGCTCTGCTGCGTTCCAACGCACTCGGCGTGCGCTCCGCGATGAGGTTGCCGCCGCTGCTGCGCCTCCGCACGCTGCTTCTCTGGCGCAGGCTGCTGAGGAGGTGTCGGGGCTGCCCACCGGCGCCGTCCGCAACCATAGGCGCAGCCACCTCATCCACCCCGCTCGCTTCCGCATGGCGCAAGCGCGTGGAGGACAGAAGGTGGGAGTTGAGGCTGTTGGTGCGGCTGTGCGCCCGCTCGTACTGCGCCGAGAGTTCTCGCACGTGCTGCGGCATCGGGATAGTTCCTTCCTCCACCAACCGCTCGTCCAGCGTCATGTGGCGCTGGTGGCGCAAGTGGTCCAGCGTGTGGTCGGCGGAGAGGCCGAGGAGGGACACGCTGCCCTGGCCGAAGAACGGCTCCGACTCGGCGGGGATGGCAAGGTCGGTGCCGCTCGTGATTAGCGACAGCGCTGGTCGACGATAAGAGCTGCCGGACTGCTGCTGCCGTAACGAGTCAGAAAAGCGCCGATGTTGCAGATGCGGGACGTCCGTCTGGCCGGGAAGCGGACCATTACCCGCCTCGGCAGCCTCCCGCTCCTCCGGCTCCAGGTGCGGTGTGATGAAGACGTGCGAGTCTTCGCCGTCGCGGGTGCCCTTCTCCGGGCTACGGCTGAGCAGCCGTCGTCTCTCTTCTTCCGCCGCCGCCGCCGTCTTGGGTGGGCGCTGCGGCGTGGAGTGCCGCGCACACGTGTCACCCTCTGGCCCCGACCCGACCATGCTGCCCTGCGCATTCGCCGTGGCCGCCACCGCTTTGTCCGCCTCCTGCGATGGCGACGTCGCCACGTGCGCCGCGACCCCGCCGCAGGAGTCGACCGTGACCTTCGACAGCGGCTCCCCGCTGCCGCCGGCACTGCCGTTTGCCGGATCCTCGCCGTTCATCTTCGCAAAGACCGCCGCCGGGCTCGACGCCGGCACGCCGAGGGCGCGCTCGATGATGTCCTCCACCGTCCCCAACGCCTCCACCGTCTGCATCTTGGCGCGACGCGTCTTGGCGCTCGTCTCGCCGTCGAGGTTTGCCGTCTCGATGTAGGTGAGGCCGTCGGGAAGGGAGGTGTTGAGGAGCAGGCAGTCCGCCCGCACCTCCTCGCCGAGACGGAAGAGGACGACGTCGCCTGGGTAGACGTCGCAGCTGCGAATGGGCTGGAAGGTGACGTTCGGCTCCTGCGATGTGCTCGTGGCCGCATCCGTCGTCGCCGCCGTGGCGGCATCCGCCTGCGACGTGGCGGCGCTGTTCGCTTCGTCGTTTTGCGCTAGAGGCTTCAACAAGGCGGACCGAGCCGGCGCAGGAGGGACGACACCACCACCGTCGCCATCGCCTATCCGCCGCGGCGGAGCCGCAGGACTCGCCCGAGGGCTTTTGTCGAGCGAGGCCATCTCGGTCCCGCCGCCACCGCCCCGTGGATGCGTCTTATCAGCAGGAAAGAGGAAGCGCACGACACGCTTTCGTCCGTGACCGTTGCCCGACGCGTCCTCGGCGCCGTTGCTGCTGTGGCGCTCCTCACTGTCGCTCGTCATGATGTTCGTCGTGTTGTGCTTCGTCGCGGCCGTGTCGCCGCGCAGGAGCGGTTCGACGCTGCCCTCTGCGTGACCCGCCTCCGCGCCCGGCGGGGACGTGGCTGGCTTTGGCGATCGGTCTGCCTGCGATCCGCTACGAGCGGGGCGACCGGACCCTTCCGCTTGCACCGGCACCCGCAAGACGTGGACGATCATTTCATTGGCCTGCTGATCCGCCTTGCGGCGCTTCCAGTCCTCCCACAGGTCCTTGATAATCCCAGCGCCGAGCACGATGCAGAGCGGCACGACGCTGCTGAAGGGGTTAATAGGACTTGCACCAGGCACCAGCGTGATGACCATAACCAGCAGGAAGTAAAAGTTCGAGATTTTATAAAACTGGTATAGCAGACTTAGCGGCAGGCCCGAGGCCAGGGTGTACTTGGCTGTCCGAATTGAATTGTCAGGGAACTTGCGCTGGTGGTTGAGGTCGCTGCGGAGAAGGTCGACTTCGACGAAGCCCGGCTGCGACGACGAGCCGTTGTCGCTGCGGTCCGCCACGTAGTTGTTGTCGTCATCGTCATCGATGGCGTTGCCGTTGTTGCTCGTGCAGCCGAAGGTGTCGCTGGCGGTGGCGGTGAACGCCGCAAAGCCAGATTTAACCTTCCTCCACATGTGGATGGAAGTGGGGGGGGGGGGGTAGGGGAGGTGCGAGCTGCGCTGCTGACCGTTGGGTAGATTTTGATCTCTCTCTCTCTCTATATATGTAGAAACAGAGTCCAAAGAACGAAAATGTGAAAGCTAAAAATAAGTCGGTGAATATGCATATATATATATAAATTTATATTAGACGGAGACGAGCACTTGTCAGGCTTGGTAAGATAAGAGAAATAACAAAAAGAGAAACACTCAGAACAGTCTGAACGCTTCAACACATTCAGACAGAAAGGGCAAACAACAAAAGGCCTCACCCACACGCGCACATGCGGAGGGAATATCAACAGCAGCAACAACAATAGCAATAAGTCACCGCCGTTACCCGTTGATGCGCCAAGGAAAGGGCAGAACCGCAGAGAGAGAGAGAGAGAGAGAACACAAGATAAGAAGAAAAAAGAAGCTCGAGCAACAGGCGAGACCGACGAAAAAAAGATGACTATCTAATTTCAGCTGCTCAAGGATAACAATCGTTGTTTTGCTTTCAAAAACAAACCCGAAACGAAAGAAGTGGGGGTTCGTGTGTGTGTGTGTGTGTGTGCTGTCGATCTTGTGAGGGGTATAGCTAGCAAAGACCGCGAAACACAGGAAAAAAGAAATCGCCAAACACAAACCAATAGTAGAAGGCCAGCAATAGTAATAGTATTAGTAAAAACACACGCACCCGTACACAAAAGGATTTAACGTTCACGCGCGTTAGTTTCACAAGTGACTTGCAGAGGAAAAAATGAGAAAAAAAAAAGGAAGGCTAGTGCACCTGCTGTCCCCTCTAAGAATAATAATAATAACAGTAATAAGGTGTGAAAGAAGAAGGTGGGTTTTATTCCACCTGTGCCGACGCCACACCCCGTGGGTTTTGCAGAAGACAAGGATGTCACAAGACAAGAGCGAGAGGGAGAGGGAGGGAGAGGGAGAGGAGGGAGAGGAACGAAAGGAGAAGCAGCAGCAGCAGCGGCAGATACGACAACAACAATGCGATGAGCACAACAGCCGCAACAGTAATTTACAAGCGAAGAAATCACACACACGCAGGGGAAAAACAGAGTTCGAGGAAGGAAGCTATTCTTTGAAAGCCACACAAACAAAACCCCCCCAAGCCCATTCAATCACCGGCACGTCGCGTTAAAAGAGAGAAAAACAAGCCCCCCCCAAAACGTCGACGAGGGCAGGAAGAGTATCACTAGCTCTTACACCGAAGAGGTTCGATGGGGATTACAAGAAGGGAACACTGCAGAAAACAAAAAAAGGCTTCTCTTGTTAAACACTCTCCCCACGAAATTAAAAGAAAAATAACAACAACAACAACACGACACAGAAGACGCGAATTAAATAAATAAATGAATACATATATGTATGTGAGTGTTGCGAGGGTTTAGAGCTCGTGTGAAATCGCTCACCGCGTCTTGAGTAGTAGTGGTCTCCCTCTCGCTGCCAATAAGGTGCATAAGATGAAAGAGGGAGGAGGGAAAACACACTCAAACAGAAAAAGGCCGAGAAGCGCTTTGGAAAAATAACAATAACAAAAAATGTGAAAGGCCGAGTTCCTTCTCAACTTCCACACCTTTGCAGTGCGTGGAGGAACAAGAGGAAGAAGAATCGTTCGTTAACGCGTGCGTCACGATCGGGAAGCGGTGCTACCGAATGGTAGAGGAGGAGAAAAAAGAAAGAGAAAACGCGGGGGTAAACCCCGAAGTACCGCGAAAAAACGCGTCCGGTTAAGTGAAACTACTTCCTCCCTCATTGAAACCAGGGAAATAAGTAAGTAAAGAGATGAGAAACCGAGAGGGGAACAGAAAGAGACGCTTTTTGTTTTTGTAAGTTACGAGAGAGAGAGTGTGCGTGTGCGCGTGTACCGAACTGGTTAAAGGAGAGGGGACCACACACCTCCCAACACTTGCCAGTTAAGGCAGCACCACAAGGAGGAGGCGCCGTCTACACAAACGACGACCATCCCCTCCATCCTATCCGACACACAGGAACTTGAAGCATCTGAGTCTCACCCACACGCCGAGGAGGTTGCATCGACGAAGCGTAGACGAAGGAAAGAAGAATTCCCTGCTGCGCTCAGGTCCTGCAACAATCGTCTGCAGGAAGGAGAAGAGGAGACTCCCCCCTCCTCCAAACGTTCATCTTGTTCCTTGTTAGATGTATAATGAAATGATCAAATGAAAAAAAACAACAACGAAATCAGGCTGAGCGCCAACGATGCAGCTGCCACATGATGCAACAAACCACCCCCCTCCTCACAAGTGCTGCTGCTGCTGTCTTCTTCTACCTTGCGTTTTCGTGAGACAACCTGTAGCACGAAAGGACAAAGGAAGAAGAAGACATACAGAGAGCGTGCGCGCTGCGAGAGAGGGGTGCGTGGCCGTTCGTCTACGTTGCTTAGCGCAGCTTCTTCTTCATGCGGAGGTTGGAGCAGTGACCGCACGCCTTCTTGCGGCAGTTCGTCGCACGCACCGGCAGGCGGGCGTAGCAGCGGCGGCACACCTTCTTCTCCCAGTTGTACTTCTTCGCCAGGGCGACCAGAGTTGGCTCCATGATGCCACCGCGCAGGCGCAGCACGAGGTGCAGCGTCGACTCCTTCTGGATGTTGTAGTCCGCGAGCGTGCGGCCCTCCTCCAGCTGCTTGCCGGCGAAGATCAGGCGCTGCTGGTCCGGCGGGATGCCCTCCTTGTCCTGGATCTTCGCCTTCACGTTCTCGATCGTGTCGCTAGCCTCGACCTCCAGCGCGATCGTCTTGCCCGTCAGCGTCTTCACGAAGATCTGCATGGCTGCGATGGTACGGGAAGAGAGAGAGAGTCAGAGGAAGAAAAGAAATATAATCCCACTAAGGCACGTCAACTGCACCCAAGAGGAAGAATGGAGAGGAAAGTAGCAGGTAACAGGTGCAAATGCACGAGACAGGCGCATTGCAAGGGAGATGGAAGGGGGGGGGGGGAGGTGAAGTTGCATGACATGACGGAGATGGATGTAAAAGGAAGCCGTTTTGTTTTGTTTTGT